ATCTATCTATCTATCTATCTATCTATCTATCTATCTATCTATCTATCTATCTGTCTTTCTGTCTGTCTGTCTGTCTGTCTGTCTGTCTGCCTGTCTATCCATGTATCTACCTATCTATCTGCAAATACATACATATACAAATGTGTATATTTATCTGTATATGTATATGCATAAGTACATGCACATATTTGTATGTTTATTCATATGTACATGTGTATGTATATGTTATAATTATATATAATATGATGTAATATATTCTATAACCATTTATTAAATTTTTTTATAAAATATAATTTAAATTTTATAAAGTTATATGCAAAATATGTACACATATATAACTTTACAAAATTTAAATAGTAACTATTATGTTAACTAATATAAACTATTAACTCTTAGGTTGCATGGTACAGTGGATACAATGCTGGACTTGGAGTCAATAAGACCAAGGTTCAATTTGTACCTCGGACGATTGCTGGTTTAATGACCCTGGGCTTCACCACGCTGTGCCTCGGTTTTATCATCTGTAAATTTGAGGATAATAATTTTCTAAAGGTACATTGTGCTTGTCTCATAAAGTTATTGTGAGAATCACATGAGATAACATGTTGTTTTTATAAAACAAAGCACTATATAAATGCTAGCTATCATTTTATTATTAATTATTATTATTAATTATTATTTACTATTATTATTAATTACTATTATTATTCCCCTGGGTCTAGACAGCTCACTGCTTTAGCATCCTTGGTATTAATCATTTATCTAATTCCCTAAAGTAAGTATATTTTAAACATGATGATGATAGTGATGATGAAAATAACAGCAACAACTACCACATAGATGCACATAACTAGAGTTTACAAAGTATTTTCATAGAACATTGAAAAAGAAAAAGAGCTTTGAAGCCAAAGGATGAAGATTCAGGTCTCCATGATGACACTACCAGAGTGACCTCAGGCAAGTCACTTAACTTCCCCTGGGCCTCAGTTTCCTTATCTATAAAATTATTCTTCAGCCTCTTCTAACTCTAAAAAGATGCTATATACTATTTTAATATGCCCCTTTCAAGCTCATGATAAACCTACAAGGTAGGTAGCACAAAGATTATTGCATTCATTTTATGCATGAAAGCACTGAGGCTCAGAAAAGTTAAAAGTAAATATGTCAGGGTTATATGGGTAAAAAGTAGCAGAGCCCTAATTTAGACCCAGCTCCTCTGACTCCAAACTGTGTTCTCTTTCCAGTCAACAGGACTTCACTCATTTCACTGACTCTGAAAAAGAAGGCAGAATGCTAAAAATAAATATTTTACTAATAAATTCAGGGAAAATACTTTCAATTTGTTCTAAAAACTCAGATACCTTTGTTCCCCAACTGAAGGGTGTCAGGGACCTGCTTTGCTTTCCCACATGGTAAAGAATGTTCCCCAATTACATACCTTGGAAGCCCGTGGTCTTTGATTTTTCTTTCAGACCTTGAGTTATGTCACCAACCTGAAAAACACAAATTCCCAAATGTGCTTTTTGTTATGGTTCTCCTACCTTACCTCTGTTTATCATTGAGGGGAGAAAGATTGTTTTTGGTGCTGGGAATACCATATAATACACTTCTTCCACAGGGCTGCTTAGGAAACACCATAGTTTTGGATCATAAAACCATAGGTCTAAAGATAGAAGGGACCTCGAGAGCCACCTAGCTCATTTTCTTCATTTTATAGGTGGGGAAACTGAGGACAAGGTCAATAAATATAATAGACAGAACCAGAATGAACTTTGGAGAGCATCTAGCCCAACTTCCCTCATTTTACAGATGGGGAAACTGAAGACAGGGAGGACAATAATAATAGAATAATAAAGTTAGAGCTAGAGGGGACCTCAGAGAGCAACAACCCTCGTACAACCCTCTTATTTTACTGATTGCAAAACTGAGGCTAGGAAGATCAGTAATAATAAGACGAAAGTGACTAAATGATTATATATTTTACATGATTGGACATACATAACCTATATCAAATTGCTTACCATTTAAGAGAGAGGGCAGAGGAGGAAAAGAGGGAGAATATTTGGAACTCAAAATTTTATAAAATACAAATGTCTAAAATTGTTTTCACATGTAATTGGAGGAAAAATTTTTAAAAAACTATTTTAAAAAAGAGGTTCAAGAAAAAAAAGATGAAATGTCTAAAGCTAGAAGAGACCTCAGAAAGCATCTAGCTTGATCCCCTCATTTCATAGCTAAGGAAACTGAAACCAAATAACATTGGAATAATTGAGTTGGAGCTGGGAGAGACCTCACAAGGTACCTAGTCCAAACCTCTCATTTCACAGATGAAGAAACAAGCCCCAGTGAGGGTAAATAACTTGACCTGAAGTCATCCCAGGTAGTAAGCATCAGAGGTGAGTTTTGAACCCAGATATTCAGATTCTGGATGGTGTGCCCACATCATTGTATCATACTACCTCCTTGACAGAAATAGCTCTGGACTAGGAGTCAGAAAGCCTCCCTCCTAGCCATGTGACATTAGACAAGTCTTGGGATAAATTCACCTGTCAGAATCCCAGCTTCCTCACCTATAAAATGTGTATAATAAAACTTGTACTACTGACCCCACAGAGATGTTTTGAGGAAAGCACTTCCTAAACAATAAATCTCAAAAGTGTAAAACACTATAGGAGATGTATATATGATCACAGTTTACAAACAAATTACTCCTTCATATAGGCTGAGATCTCTAACTGTCCAATTAGTACAAATAGCACTTTGGTGGACGTTGTCTCCCTGGGAAAGGGCAGTCGTGATACTATTACCAATAAGCTTCTCCATGAACAATACAAACTTAATCTTGACTTCAAAATATTATAGAATACGCCTTCAATTCCTAGAGAAGTGATGAATGAACACAAAGGGTAAAGAGACTTTAGAGGTCAGCCAGGCCTACTCCTCATTATAGAGGAGGAAACTGAGGCCCAGAGAGGTAAATTAATTTGCCAAATGTCACATAGCTTGTAAATATCAACACCACACCTGGAATTCGGATCTCTTGACCCCTTAGTCCACTGGTACTTCCATTATATCACTCGCTTCCCTATGGTCTTCTTAGCATGCAGCATTCCACTTGCTGATTATTCCATCACCATATTGGCCCTCTGTCATATGGTTTTGTTTTGTTTTCTTTCCCTTCCCTCAACTCAACTTTCCCTTGTTTACTTCCTGATAATATTTACAACAGAAGTGAATTTCTAATCTCTAGAAAACTTTCTGAAAACATGCAATGGATTCATGAGTAACCCTGCAATCTATTTCTTGACCCCAGCTTTAGGATTTGCTAGAGGACTGGGGCAATGAGGAGTTTTCGTGGTTTGTTTACAAGCTTACTTTCGGATGGAGCTTTGGTCTCTGGTGGTAGCTCTCTGTGGACAAAAATAATAAACAGCAGAATGTGATCACTGCAGATGCCATTTTCAGACATGAATCTCTTCACCTGGAGGGAAGAAAAGATGAATCCAGATGAAGGTATTAATATCATTTAATTGGCACAGACAAGTGGTTGTGGTAGAGCTCTGCAGACTGTGCTTATTTTGCAAACCTTATAGCTCTAAACAAATGTGAACTGTCATCTTTTTTTAACCAGAACTATAATTTCTTTGGTATAGAGAACTCCCAAAGAAAAAAAGTTCCCTCTACCAAGGCAGACTGGCACCAGCTCTGCAGCTTACAGAATTGCCTGGGCTAATGAGATGTTAAATGACCTCAGGGCCATATAACCAGTATATATCCGAGGTAAGATTTAAACCCAGATCATTTTTACTTCAAGCATAGATACCATTACATTTTAAAACTTAGTCAATATGTATTGGCCAGATCCTTCTGTCCCGTGGAGTAGCCCCATTTCTATGTGGTTTTGACAGAGCTGTATACATCATTCTTCTGAGCTTATTTTCAATGAAATTCAGATAGAAACCACCCTGTGATAAGTTTCTAACCTTGTTTATTTTTATCTTTAATGTTCAGAGGACTGACTACTGCACAGGTGAATAAATGTTGGATATAAGATTATTGTTATTTTTGGCTGGAAACTTATGAATTCCTTTTTTATTATTTGGACTTGGGGCCATTTCTCCTGCAAACTTTGGTTAATTTTAGCCTCACCTGACCAAAAGCTGTCCCATGAGATGTAAAAATTTACTTAGAGCCTTAAGCATTCTTTGGTAAAATGCCAGAGGAAGAATCTCAACTTTCCCCACTCCTTGGCAACATGTAAATCCTTCTCCTCAATCAATCGATTTGTAATCCTCTAAATATAGTTTAATATGTAAACTGCCTTAGTTTGCCTATGGAGTTTGTTTAACCAGGTTTGTTTCCTTAGGGAATATATAAGGTTATGATTCTGTTTCAGTTTGTTCAACTTTTATGACATTGAAATAAGCATGGGATTATGGCCATCTTTCAAACTTTTATAGCCTAAGAGAAAGGCACAAGATTGCAATATGTAAATGAATTCTTTCTTTGTCACTCTGACATGATTTTTTCTATAAGAAACCTTGTTAGAATCCTAACGATTGATCAGGTTTTCTCTGAGGCCTGAACCTATGCTTGGGCATAATAATAAAACCTAATTTTTTTCCTCCATAATTTCTGCACTGTGGTAAATATATATTTGGTAGCAGTTACCCACCACATGAACTCGGAGAGGAAATATTTCTCCCATAACCTTTTTGAAAAGTCAGGGAAATAGAAAACATAGACTGAGCCAAGAGAGGTGTGTGAAAAGTTGTTGGAGGGGAAGTGACTGAATTACCCAAATCCTCTACAATTTAGAGAATACTGATTTAAAATGTAGAGCAGATGAACAGCATACCTTCAAAGAATGGAACCCCATTGGCATTTCCTGGAGGATTTTCAGAGCAGAATAGCTATGTAAATGCCTAATATTTTTCCTTAGTATTTGGTTAATGTCTGTGCTCCAAGGAGCTCAAAACACATTATACCTATGACCCCACTAATCTCTTTTTCCAATGTTCCAAGTACAAGTTCAAGTACTCCCTTTTTAAGGTGAGGACATTAAGGTGCAGAAACACTCAATCCTGTGCCCCAAGGACAGGTGTGCTACTGGAATAGAACTCAGGCATTCTGCCCCCAATCACCACTTCTCCCACTTCTCCTGGTACATTTGAGACACCATCCTTGAGAAACTCTTTTCATCACTACAATTATTACATCACCATGGTTATGTCATCATCATCTCCTCCATAGGAGATGATGACACGAATTAAGCACTTTCCAGTTCCCTGATTGCCTCAATGGTTACTGCTCACTTCCATCTCAAATTACTTTGTATTTACTTCTCTGTGTGGTTCCTGGATGATAGAGGCTGGTTTTTTGCTTTGTATCAGTGATAGGACCAGTATTTTCCTAAAGCGACTCTTCCCTTCATCCCCCACTTCTTGGGATAAGGTTTTACCTAAAAGAAGACAAAGCTGACTGACCCCCAGGAGCCTGATTGACCTACAAAGTCCCCTTCCCTGCTCTCCTCCTGTTACTACCCTAGCCAACATTGGGTAGGCTCTAGACAAAGCTGCCTCCAGGAAAAAGGAGCCTTATTGGCCCCGGCTTCCCTGATGCAGCATCTTGGTTATCTAGGGACACACAAACTCCCAGTCGCATGAAGTTTGAGCCTTTCAGAATTGCCATGTATCTCAAATCACCTAAATTACTATATCCCGATGACATACTGATGACTAGATGCATTTCCAGAGGGAGACAAGGCTTCCAGAGAAGCTAAGTGCCACTTTATCCTTGTGTATATTCTTGCTGGGTTAAGGCAAAATAAACCTCCTTTGTTAAATATTAATTACCTTATTTCATCCTCCTTTCCTCTCAACATCTAATCTGAACTAAGAGAATGCAGTAACTCCAGAAACATCCCTAGTACCTAGAAAAAACAAATATTTGTTGATTTAAATTGAATGGCCCTAGCCAGTTGGCCATTCACTTTAATTGGTCTTTCAGATACAGGAATAGATTTGTCTGATCCAACCTTAATTTTTTCTGACAAAAAAAAAACCACACATATATGAGACCAGGATGCAATTACTACTATATAGACTGTGGCCACTGGTGAGTGAACTGGACTATACCATACTATGAATATGAATTGATTAGGACAGTGTTCTATTTAATTTTCATACATATCTAATTAAAGTAGGGTTTTTTGTTTCTTTGTTTTCAGATTTTCCACCTCTGTAAGATTCCTTATCATCAAGTGGGGGAAAGTATATTGAATTGATCAGTGTATTATAAAAGAGGTCTGAGCAAGGCAAATATGAAAAAATTCCATGAAAACATTGAAATGATAAACTAGGTCTTGCTCTGAATTTTTACAAAAATTTAGGGAAAGGGTCCAGAATTCATTTCCTCATGGATAAGGGTTATCAGTGTGTGATCTTAAAATACATGGAAGGAGAAAGGGAGAGTTAAAAATGAGTTCCTGGCATATGTAGTACAATAGTATAATTGACTGAGATCCTTATAGCAATGTAAGATTTGAAAGGAGCATTGTGTTCATTATCTAGCTGACTGATATCTTGAACCAATGAATAATCAGCATTTTTAGTGGCATGAAGCCATAAAATTGTAGATTTAGAACTCGAAGAGAATTTAGAGATCAAATAATCCAAACCTCTTTTTACAAATGAGGAAATTGAGGTGCAAAGAAGGGAAATTACTCCTCATCTTGAGAGATCACTCAAACCCTGGAATTCACACTTGGGAAGAACCCTCAAACCCTTTGACCTGTCCCTCTAATTGGATGGCTCCTCCCAGAATCTCCATAGGAGAAGGGTGCACAAGCCAGCCATCTCTTCATTTTTATCAGACTATGATCCCTGGTGTTTTCCCCTCCCCCACCTTTTCTGCTTCCTTTTATGTACTGTCTTCCCCCTTTAGAACGCAAGCTTCTTAAGAGCAGAGACTGTCTTTCTTCTTTTATTTATATTTGGAGAGCTTAGCACAGTATCCAGCGCATAGTAAGTGTTTAATAAATGCTTGTTGAATTTTCAGTGCTCACCTCACACAGGTAGTTGGTAAAAAAAAATGTGAGGATGTGAACTCTGACCCCAAATCCATTGTTCTCTCCACTATGACAAGCAGATTATTAATCACCTAAAACTATGGTCTGCTCCAGAATTTTCTCTAGGTTCAGGCATATAATAGTATAAAAACCATTCATGTTCATAGGTTATGAGATCCATTTTTTAGTTATCTAGATTTTTATTCTCCACTTCTTGAAATCCTGCCCTTCCTCTAAATTCTGACTCATTGTGACATCCTTGGTCCTCTTTGAGAGGGAAGGGACATCAACAACAACAACAGCTTATATGCTACCTTCTCCATGAAGCCTTCTTTGATCCTACCTATTTTCTTATCAGGCCTCATGTTGCATATTATAGTCTTCACCATAGGCTTTAGAGTTGTACAGACCCTTAGAGATCATCTAATTCCTTTGTATTATAGATTAGGATACCAAGGCCCAGAGAAGAGTAACCTACCTAAGGCACACTGCTAGAAGAATCAGGATTTGAACCCAAGACCTCTGACTTCTTTCCACTATATGACAATGTTTTATTTCCTCCCATGTCACCAACTGCCTAGTGAACATTTTCTACTGGATGTCAGGAAGGCATTACAAACTCAACATGTTCAAAAGAATATTCATTATCTTTCCCCAAAAAGTCTGCCCCCCTACTTCTGAACTTTTCTATTTCTAATGAGAGGACCACCATCCTTTCAGTCACCCAGGTTTACAACATCAGTATCATCATCAACTCCTTACTATGTTTCAACCTGCATGCTTCTCTATCACCAAATCTTAATATTTGTATATTTGTACCTCCACAATACTTTGTGCAATACATCCCCTTCTTTCCACTCACGTAGCCACTACCCTGGTTCAGTCCATCCTCACCTCTCATGAGGACTATTACAATAGCCTCCTAATTGGTCTCCCTGACTCAAGTCTCTCTGCATTCCAATCCATCCTCCAAAAATCCACAATTTTCCTAAAGCAAAACTCTTACTATATCACCTCCCTACTCAATAAACTCCAGTGGTTCCCAATTGCCTCTAAGATTAAATATAAATACCTCTGTTTGGCAGTTAAAAAACTCTTCACAATTTAGCCTCTTCCCATCTTTCTAGATTTATACATTATTCCCTTTCCTGCACTCTACAGTCCAACTATACTGGCCTACCACCTCACTTGCCATTCCTCACACCTGCACTCTATGGTCCAACTATACAGACCTACCACCCCACCTGCCATTCCTCACACCTGTTCCAATTCCCATCTCTGTGTTCCTGCACTGACTGTCCTCTGTGCCTGGAATGCTTTCCTTCCTCACTTCTACCTCTTTCAATGCCTGTTTTCTTTCACAGCTCAGTTCAAGACCATTATTTGCAGGATGCTCCTCCATCCAGGGACCC